ACACACACACACACACACATTTGTTTACCTGTCTTCATGGGCACTATAGCAATAGACTTGTCGCTTTCTTGGGACCATTACCTTCTACCAAAACCTAAAATTCAATCTGAGCCATAACTAAGTCTGGACCCTGCAGTGACCCTTTAAAGGTCTGTTTAAATGTGAAGACAAAATTTGGCATTATTTGGTCTTTTAAATGTCCTCAGAAAGTCTAAGACTCATATTACATCCCACATAAACACTTATACAAGCAAACACACACTTCCTGTTCAGAGCACTTACTGTACTGTGTTCCCATAGAATGTTCCAGATACTTTCAGAATCCTCTGGATGTGAATGTCTGTATTGTTCTCCTGCTAACGAATCAGTATTTAGACTGTAGAGAAACAAAACCTGACTCCACCCTCAATCCCCTAAAATAACCTTCTATTGGTCAGTAAGTGGCATCATTGCTGTATCTGCAATGGCATACGCAATTTTCATTGTTTGTTTTTAAGAAAAGTTTGAGAAACAAAGGGGATAAAGGTTATTTATGTTTTTTTGAATTTACAATTTATGCACTTTTTTTAAAGAGATACATTCATTTCATTCTCTATATTACAAATATTTAACACTGTAGTGAAAACGATACAATTATATTTTTATTTTCAGCCCCGGAGCCTGTCTCTGAGATAACTGTTTCAAATGGCGGCAAGTCTGATGCTCTGCAGGTATCGTGGCGTCCTGTGTCAGGAGTCGTGGACAGCTACCTGGTCTGCCTTGAGGAGAGGAAGGGAATTTCTAAACATAAATTTGTTGTGTCCCACTCCTCACCACCTGAGTGCTCATTCAGGTCGCTGGAGGCTGGCAGGCTTTACTCGGTGGTCATAAAAACAAGGAGTGGCGACCTGGAGACTTCCGCCACCGTCCTAGCTCGAACGCGTAAGAATCCAGTCCTTTTAAAGTCTTATATTTGTCTGAGTTTATGTTTATTTTACCATCTACCAGTTTTGTTTATACTTAAGTTAAAACATCTCTGTTGCTTTGTCTTTTGTTCCATTTTGCAGAACCAGCCACTGTGCAAAATCCAATAGCTGTTCACTCTGGAAGAGACAACTTCCTCAAGGTATATCTGTGTAACAAGAATAACATTTAATTTAATGTGGTGTTACTGTTGCAGTTTTTTACTTGTTTTATTTGTTTTTTTTAAAGCTCTCTTAGTGAAATGATCACCTAAGTGGTCTACATCTCAGAAAAAGACAACTTTCGGGGATATTTGAATGTTTGTTTTTTTTTTTTTGATAGTCCAAAAACGATTTTACTTCTGAACCTGTGTTGCGACTTCAGGCTCTGAGAGACTAAATTATGGATTTGTTAAGAGGAATTAAGTCGCAAAAGTGTCATTTTTTTGACAAGACACAAAAGTAGATTAAAAGGAAATTTCTCACTACTTTAAATTACCCTCAAATAATGTATTGGGATTTCTGTATAAACTATATATTTTTAATTAAATGTTTCATGTTTTTAAGACACTTTAATCTTACACATAACAAAAGAGTCACAGCCAAAATTAATGTGGGGCTTATCTGTTTTAAGGCTGAATAATCATCAAAACAAATATTTCTAGGTGGCTTAATTGAGAACAAATTAGCACCCATTACACAAACCGTTACAGCTAAAACAGGAGTGGCTGTTGTCTGCAAAACAGGTGGCACACTTTATTCATGTCGGGATTACAGCTGTAATAGATGTGGCTGTCATCTACATAACATTGATGATGTGCACTACTCTAACATGCCTGAGCACATATGTATTAAAAATAAAAATGAGCTAAGTACCAAGCCCTGAGGAACCCCACCATCAGCTTTGAACTAGAGCACCTGGTCTCGCCATAACTAGGTTTAGTTAACTTGGGTGAAGGAGTTATCAAACGTACAAATAAGAGTAAAGCTAGAACCAACAGAGAGTCATAAAGCTGATTGATTGATTCTTTAAATTTTTAAATATTACTATGTGATCATATTGTGTCATACTTTCAGGTGTACTGGCGCCAAGCGGCTGGGGTTCTCGACCGCTACGTGGTTCTGATCCGTTACAATCACACCGTGCTGCAGAATAAGAGTGTCTCAGCAGGACACAACGAGTGCGTCTTCTCATCTCTGACATCGGGTAGACTCTACACTGTCACTGTGGAAACCTGGAGTGGAGACTATGTCAGCAGCATCTCCACTGATGGACGCACCTGTGAGTGAGAGATAACGTGAAAAATGACCTAACATGGTAATATTACAGAAAAGTTCTTTTTGTGTGTGTTATTTCTCCTGATTGGGATGAATTTTGTATTTTAGTTCCTGCAGCTGTTCAGAATCTGTTACTCAGCAATGCAGGAACCGACAAGTTGAACATCACCTGGAGCCCTGCCCCTGGAGACGTGGATTACTATGAGGTGTGCTTCACAAAACTTTGTTTAAAAAATATTTAGTAATTCATAGACAAACACCTGAACACCGGTCTAAATAATCAGTATCAGCTATAATGTGTTGTAATTCAGATATTACTGAGGGAATTTAAAAATATGATCGAGTAAGCAGGTACTTTAAGTATGTTTAATAGGGTTATGGTTAAAATAACTATACTATAATTACTTAAAAATTGCGGAGTAAGTGAAGTATTCTAAGTGCATTTTCCCACTGATATGATTTAACAATGTTAAAATGTATCATCAAACATGAATTGAACCCCTGTTTCCCAGAGGATGAACTCATCTCACTGCACCACTTCCTGTACCCCCAGGTCACTCTGCTCTTCAACGATTCTCGAGTATTCCCTCCGGTCACGCTGGGTGGTGAGGTGCGACAACACCGGCTGACCTCTTTGACGCCTGGGCGGCTTTATAAGATTGTGGTGGCGACATTCAGTGGATCATATCAGAGAGCAGAGTTCATTGAGGGGCGAACAGGTTAGAAATGCAGAGTATATGTTCACAGCTTCACTGCAAGCATCTTGGGTTGAAGTTTAGTAAATCCATCTCGTCTTCAGTTCCCAGAGCTGTAGGAAACCTCCACCTGGTTCCACAACCTGGTCTGACTGACTCTGTTGCTGGACTTTTGGCTTCCTGGATGCCTGGCGAAGGAGACCTGGACATGTACATTGTGTCCCTGTTGACCGTGGTAAGTTAATACCAAAGACACCTCGCCACATGATTTGTTTAACCCCTTTTTTGATTCCAACTTCAACTGCAATTCATAAAAATGCATCTGATATGAAACACTGCAAGTTTCACACTTATCATAAACATATTAGTTTGAAATGTATACAGTTGGATGGAATAATAGGTTCAGTGTGATTTTGTACCTGTTCTGTATAAGTATAATATAATGGAAATGTTTTTATTTGTATAAAAAAACACAACAAAGCACGAGATGACAGTTCAGGGTGTGGTATATAACTCAGACAGGAAATCAACATTCTGCTGTAAAAATTGCTTTAATAACAAACATGGGCCTGGGTGTAGGGATAATTGTGCTAAAGGACAGTACGAGGCAAACATTCCCAGCATGAGTACACCCTAGTTTGAGCTCAAAACATTCAGCAGTCATATGAACTCATAATTTAAATTAAATGTATTAAAAATTAAAGACATCTAAAAATGTGTGTACTTTCAGTTCCACACCAACACGAGCAGCTCATGTACGCATTGGGTCGACTGATGAATGGGCAGTGTTGGGAAGGTTACTTTTAAAATGTATTCCATTACAGAATACAGAATACATGCCCCAAAATGTATTCTGTAACGTATTCCGTTCCGTTACTCAATGACAGTAACGTATTCTGAATACTTTGGATTACAGTGTGTGAATGTGTGGATGACTGGATATGTAAAGCGCTTTGGGGTCCTTAGGGACTAGTAAAGCGCTATATAAATACAGGCCATTTACTATTTAATCTATTATCATGCTTTTTACAACAACGTGAATGTACTATTGCTGTGTGATTTATTACTATTACTGAAGGTCCGCGACTCCGAACTGTAGTAAAGGGACCTCTGACTAATACGGCGGGGTCCCTGTCGGCTCGTAGCCGAAAAATAGCTTTACTTTGTTGTGTGGGTCAACTTTTCTTGCGAGAGACTAGAGAGAGGCGTTAAAAGACTGCTCCAATGGAACTTATTGTTTTCGGAGGAAAACACGAACACGGTGTACAGTCGAGTCCTAATAGCTTACTTACAACTGGGCTTGTCAGGCACTCTTCTTGGCTGAAGTGGTTATTATTATATTTACATGCTTCCAGCTCCCGTTTTTCCTCGATGATAACTCGTACCTTTCCACTCCCCTTTTTCTCCCTCCTCGCGCTCACAGACACATAACGTGTATGGCAGTCCATTCTCCCTGCAACACGGACTACACTGCCCATGATGCTACATTCTTTAGAGCTATGCTTGTAGCATTCTGCCTGTTAGCTTAGCACAACAACAACAACAGCGAAAAGGCGCTCTCTCACCCAGGAAACACACAGTCGCAGAGAGAGAGAGAGAGCGTGGCACCGTAACCATGGCAACCGTAACGCTGCCGCCTGGAACAACAGAACGTAGCTGTCAAACAAAACCCAAACAGTCCTGACCCGTGACAAAAAGAAACAGGAAAGTACCGCAGTGTAATCCATTTATTTCAACAAAGTAACTGTATTCTGAATACCACCTTTTTAAACGCTAACTTTAACGGAATACAGTTACTCATATTTTGTATTTTAAATACGTAACGGCGGTACATGTATTCCGTTACTCCCCAACACTGTGAATAGGTGATGTTCAGACCGTATAATGAAGGGATGCGGAGGTGGTGGAGTAACAGACGACTTAAGACTTCTCTCTCAACTTTCTGTCTTTAGGACGGAGTCATTATCGACACTCGTCCTGTTCCCAAACATGTCACCACCCTGGACTTTTTAGAGCTGACCCCAGGTCACCTTTACACCATCACTGTCCAATCGATGAGTGGGAAGCTAAGCAATAGCAACACAGCCACAGGCAGGACAGGTAAGGCACCTGACAGATTATTAGAGTTTTGTCATTTAGATCAGTGCAGACTGAACATAGGTAAATTCTCTCCTTCACCACAGCTCCAGCCAGAGTCACAGCCCTCCAGGCTGATAATGATCACACCACCCACAGCCTCACCGTCAGCTGGGAGCAACCAGTGGGCGCATATGACAGCTACAGCCTGCAGCTGCTGGACGAGGCCGGCATTGTGGTGATCAATAGAACGGTCGCAGCCGAGAGTCGAAGCAAGCTTCTGGAAGGTCTGACGTCAGGGAAGTGGTATCGCGTGAGGGTCGTAACGCTGAGTGGTGGCGTGCCGTCACTGGAGGCAAGCGCAGAGGGGCAAACACGTAAGTCGCAATTTAGAAGTTTTTACTAAGAGGACGGATCGTTAATGACGTATAAAACTAGTTATGATACAACTATGACTCTTCTGCTACATGTTTTTTTTTTTTTTAAGTGTTGAAACCCTGCAGTTTCTGTGACATCCACTAGAGGCTCCAGCAGTCATTCAGGCCCCATAGACTCCCATGTCAAAAGAAGTATTTTCACTAAAGAACCTCCTGAAAGAACCTCCTGTAAATGCACACTTTGACCCAAGGTGAATCCTTTCTTCTTCAGGTCCCGCTGCCGTCAGTAATCTATTGGTCATTTCAGCCAACACCTCCTCTCTCTCCTTCTCTTGGCGTCCATCTGATGGCCATGTTGACATCTATGACCTGACTCTGTACAGCATCTCTGAGGGGACCACCAATCACAGGCAGGGCTCTCCTGGGAGCAGGAGGGATCATCACACGGTGGGATCAACATTCACATGTTTCCTGATGTTCATGCTAAGCTAAGTTTCTAAGCTAAGTTCTTGCTAAGTTTCATCGTGTTAATGTGCGCTGTGTGTTCTTCAGAATGCAGGTGAACAGGTGGACCTGCAGAAGGTGGGCTCGGCTGCAGACAGCTGTGTGTTCTCTGGGCTGAGAGCAGGCAGTCTGTACAAGCTGCAGGTGGTGAGCTGGAGCAGAGACATGAGCAGCGAATCATCTGTGCTGGCCAGAACCGGTCAGTCAGTGCTGTTGTATGGATACAAACATCACAGCCATCGCTTAGCCTTCATTTCATTCTGTCCTCATCTTTTCTCACCTTCAAGATATTTTTTCCACGTTCTCGGCATTTAGTCAGATAGTTTCTCCTCTTCCATCTTTCCTTGCTATTTTCTTAAATTTTTCTTCTTTCTGTTTCTTCTCATTTCACTTACCTCAGTCACATTGTTAAAATGTCTTCTTCCTTTTTGTCCCCCCTCTGCTCTGCAGTCCCGTCTCCAGTCTCATCTCTACAGGTGGAGAGTTCAGGATGGACGGACAGACTGGGAGTCAGCTGGCACCATGGAGAGGGAAGCTTTAGCAGTTATGAGGTAAATGTATCTCTGTGATATCTGCAGTTAAACTGTTGCAAACATGACCTCCTCCTTCAGTCCACAAAAAAATAAATCCCACTAGCCATGTTTTGCAGAGTTCGGTCTTTATGGTTTAGAATTAAAATTCCTCCCCGTGACTCTCCAATTTTAAAACAGAAGAAATTTCAGTGGAGTTCTCAATTAGAATCTCATGCTGATTTGTTTGTTTCCCTGTTACGTAAGGTGGTGTTGTACGATGTTTCTGGATCCATCCTGGGAGCCCAGACTCTTGGTGCGGAGCACACAAGTCACACCTTCACTGCGCTGGTCCCTGGTAGACTGTACCGTGCTGAGGTTATCACGCATAGTGGAGATTTGACCAATAATGTTTCAGCATTTGGGCGCACCTGTGAGTGAAATGAAAATACACACAAGCACATTTTTTTGATGTAGTTTAAATGCCAAATTATTTTGATTACTTTTTTTTCCCCAGCTCCCCAACAGCCTGCCCACCTGTCCGTCAAACAAGGCCCAAGCAATGACACAATAGAGCTGTTGTGGGCTGTTCCCACCAAAGGAGACTACAGTAACTTCAGTCTGCAGTGGACTCCTCCTGATCAGCTGACGGTCACACAAACCCATCTGACCAGCTGCATTGTGGGCGGGATGTTTCCAGGGCGAGAGTACAACTTCACTCTGATGACTACTAGTGGGGGCGGAGCCAAAGGTGGACCAACAGTCAGGAGCCAGCCAATCCAGAGGAACATAAGAACAAGTAGGGGGAACCTAAAGGAAGAAAAATAAATCAATTACTACTGTGCGAGTATTTAATCAGACATATTTATACTGACCTTACTCTCTTAATATTTCCTGTTAGTGGAAAATTTTTCTGCATATTAATTTTGGCATGTTTCTTGCATTTTCTGTTAATCAGATCAGGATTAATCAACCTCTGACCGCACATTTGACAATCTTTATGGTTTTATTTATGTTTATAGATAATTTGAGCAAACATCAAAAAATACTATCAGCTTACAAGAAGAGGATCCAAAGCTTTAAAAGCATTTTACAAACCAGCTGCATTTATGATTTTATTCCACTTGATGGCAGCACAACAGAGGCTCTGAGTCTCTCTGTGGAGTTAAATCCATTTTTAATCCTATCCTGCTTGTCCAGAGGGTTTTTGGCTGCAGGGACTGAAACCATCAGGGAGAGGAATAAAAAATATCCAGGTCACATATATTTAAATAAATCTGACCCAGTTTCTCTTCACAGCTTCCTTTTTTAATTTCCAGCAGACGAAGTGACGAAGTATTTAACACATTTATAGATACCCACAGAGAAGCCCTTATTTTGAGTTCACTCAGACAGGAAGTACAAAATTAAAAGCTAGATCTGTACATGGCCAAAAGTTCCCTGTGTATCATTAGAAGAGTAACGACGACTTAAAGGAAAAGGCTCAAAAAATCCCTCTGAAAAACAACTGAATGCAAGTAATGTCTGTTTATCAGAGGTATGTTGTATTCATTCTTCACTGAATACAGACCCAGGCGAGTGCACCCCAAAGCCCGAAAACTATTTTTACAACCAAAAAGCAGAGTATCAATCCATCTTTAAATGTTTAAAGATGATAACGGACCAGCTTGAAGCTTTTGTTATTACCTTTAATCGTTTGCCATTATTTTTAACATTTCAAAAAGGCTTGGAGGACATTGATAGACGCTGTCTCTACATGTAACCTGTGTACACTTTCACTGAATCATGGATTCATATTGATTTAAGTTATAATGACTATATGGACAAGAGATATTTTATTTTGTATTCTTATGGTCACAGTTATAATCAGACCTATCATTGATTAATCATTTACCATTGTTGAATCAGTTGACAGAATAATCTTTGAATTATATCTATGTTAATCTGAGCAGATATTAATCGATACAGATTATCATAACTTTAATCAGTCTATTGTTGTTCTGTATTATTCTTTCTATCTGCTTAAGCTGTTGTCCATTAGTGTATTTACACCACTCGATCTGGTGGGTCCAGCAGGGCCTGTTCCAGTCACTTGGACATATTCAGGCGAATAACAACATGCACATAGTTATGTAAAACACGCACGTTCACACACACACTAACTAAGGACAGGGAGGTCGTCTTAGGACAGTCTCTCTTTGTACATACTTTCACAAAACTGCACAACACAATACACACTTGTTTTTCTCTAAAGTAGCAGTTGATGTCTATATAAGGAGAACTTTTTGAGTGTGGGGAACGGTTATCATTTCCAGTAAGATCTTACTGTAACGTCATCAGGGTAATATAAGGATGGGGAGCGGTCCATTCGCAGAAGATTGTATTGCAAGTTTTCTTCCCACACTGAAAGTGTGTAAAATAAAGATCACTATTTTTGACACCTACCCGGACTCAGCCTGCTTTCTTCTCTTACCCAAATCGAATGAATTTCAACAACTACTAACCGTTAAACTGCATGAAATAACCAATCAAAAACTGGTCAGCAGAAATGAGCACAAATGAAATAAGAATGAATTAATCTCAGCAAAATATTCACTTATTTGGTTTGGCTAATGTAAGAGGGGGCGGAGCACATGTCTTATACTCCACCTATCCACCAGGGGGCAACCTAGATATTTTTACTTTGTTAAAGGGCAGTCAGATTAGTGCTGATTTTATCTATTTATCTGTTGTACTCACAGGAGTTTTAATCCAAATAATTTTGTAGTACAATAATTATGTCATAATTAGCTTATGTTTACAGATCAAAGGCCCTTATTTTCACCTCTTGAATACAAAAGTTCCATCTTATTTTTCTATCTTCTGTCTGCTCCCAGCCCAAAAAATGACAAATGTGTTGTCCTTTGCCTCTGTCTTTGTCCTCAGGAACATTCATCATCTCTTAAAGAGTGATTTTATCATCTGATCAGGAAAAATAAATGGGGACTTTCGCAGCAGCAGACTTGTCGCTCTCTGTTTTGAAAAAATAAACACCACAAGGAATTTATTTTACTCATGAAGGTCAAACTTGAAAATAAGCAAAGTGAGAAACAGAAAGTTCATTGGACTTGTTCTTTTTGTCTCCTTTTGTCACTTTTCATTCATCATCTTTCTTCTCATGTTGTCTTCATTTTTTCTATACTTCTTCCCTCTCCTTGTGTCCTTATCTCCTCTTTTCTAGGTCCATCTTCTCTAAAGTCCATCCACTGCTTCCCTCTCTCCTCTTCCTCCCTCTCTTGCTCCTGGTCACCTCCACACGCTGACTTTGACTCTTACGAGGTTGAGTGTCGGCGCTACGATGACCGGGAGCTGATCTCAGCATTGAAGCTAGTGGGAGGCGTCACAGCGGTGACACTGGACCACTTGGAGCCATACAGGAAATACTCTGTGACGGTCAGAGTATCATCAGCCGGACAGACGAGCCCGCCGGTGACACACACCACCGTCACTATGATCGACCGTGAGTTTAAGCACACACTTACAAGGATCTTCATTTACATAAGGCAGTCTCAGGCACCTAACCTGGACCTAATCCTTTTTGACCTGAGCCCTGAACTAAGACCCTTTAAGCATGTGAGGACTGACCCAGAACAGTCCTCACTTTTCATTAAATTTCATTGGTCCTCATATTGATAGATAGACAAGCATACATACACACACCAATATTCCCCTCAGGTAAAGTGTTGGATTTGGTTGTTTAAATAAAACCTCAGTTTAAGTAGGACTGCTCACCTGGGAAACAAAGAGGGAACTGAAGACTGACTTTACTCCAAGTTTGTGCATAGTCAGTTTTCTTTACCTGTTTCAGTGGCATTATACTATTCTATACTTTTCTGAACTAATTCCTTAAAAACGCTCAAATGTTTTTAACTTGTAGTTAAGCTTTATGTCCACTGCCATCTTGGGTTTCTGTAGCCAAACACAATCACATTTGGAGGAGCGGGTGGAATGCTAAGGCGGGATTCAGTGTTCAATGTTTGACTTTACTGCTGTGATTGACACATCAACAATAACCAGTAATCACATGGCAAGCTAGAAATACTCAATTAGCAGTTACCATGAGTCAAACTAGCAGCCCATGACTAACTTAAAGCAACATAAAGCAGCTCTTGTGAACAGATTTCTCCTTACTTGAAAGTCCAAGAAAAGCGTCCAGCAGACATTTTTTTTTACATCACTGACTTTGGCACAGCTGCCCGTCAGCTGTCCACCCATAATTCACTCCCAGATTGTGGTTCACATTTTAGGGAACTCGCCATGAGTTTTTTCACTAATAACATTAAGGTTTAAGGTCACGTTTGTCATTTTACAAGCAAACTAAATTGTGATTGATTGTTCACTCACTCTAAAACCCAGCTCTTATTTGAATAAGCCAACTTCATGACTTCATGATCCTGTCATGGGTGCCCGAGAGAAACAGAAGGGATCTGACTCGACATCATCTGGTTTTCCGTGTTTGCTGTCAAACCCATTTGTTTCTGCTGTATATGTATGTAGCTATACCTTACACTGAATTGGAACTAAAAGGCGTTATCTTTAATTTATTAAGGGTCTAAAACCTCTAAATAGCACACTTCCTCCTATGATTCTATCTAACTAGGCCGAGTTTGAACATCTGGTGCAGTC